TGGTATGATGTTATGATGAGGTGTGAATCGTAATATACACATAATTATAACATCATTAGCAAATAAGAATTATATCTACTGCAATTACAAGATCACAAGTACATGTACAGTAATCGATCCTCACCTTAATGTCTGCACCAGAGAGGTCATCCTTAGCCATTATATACTCCTCAAGGTCTACATCATCAGCTAATGTCATCTTGCTTGTGTGTATCTGGAATATTCTCCTCTTTGTCTTCTCGTTAGGTAGAGGAAACTCAATCTTTCTATCGATATGACCTAATGGGTGTGGTTAAATAATGGGTGTGGCTTTGATAATCCAAAATATAAATTTTGATGCATTGGGTTTGTATTAAAAGTAGTACCAAATGAATGATATCTGGCCTAAAATATGAATAGCAAGTAAAGTCCCTTTGCAAATGTACTCTGGCCTCCTATCATAACTTGATGCCACAAATACAGTGTAGAATTTACTTTAACTTCAGACTTACGTGTAGCCTTTTAAAGATCCTTTGCTACTAAATTGACTACAATTCTTAGTTCATTAATTTTGATTAATAGATGACTTAAGATGGTATACTATATGTGTGCAGTGACTAACTAACCTGGTCTAATGAGGGCGGGGTCAAGTGTCTCAATCCTATTGGTAGCCATTATGACCTTCACATCCCCTCTTGAGTCAAACCCGTCAAGCTGGTTCAACAGCTCCAGCATTGTTCGCTGAATCTCTCTCTCGCCACCTGAATGACTTTCATATCTTGAAGAAAGAAGAGGAAAGGAAATGTAACATCAATGTGTATCAAAAATTGGGTGTCATTTTAGAGGCATTCCTTTGGACAAAAAAGCCATTTTTGTACTATAAAACCATTTATGGAGAAAAACTATTTTCTTAAAATGGCCTTAACTTGAAAAATTGAAGTCAGAATTAGCTCAAACTTTTGACATACTGTAGCATAAGTACATCAATATGCATCAGAAAATGTAATAAAAATTTGGGGTAATTTCGGAGTCATTTTTTGGAAAAAAAACCATTATTCAGAATTTGGGCATTTTCTTAAAATGGCCGTAACTGAAAAAACCGAAGTCGGAATCGACTCAAACTTTCTACACATCATAAGGACATCAAAATGTATCAGAAAATGTAATAAAAATTTGGGGTGATTTCAGAGCCATTTTTCGGAAAAAACCATGGGCTATATATAGCCTTGGGTATTTTTCAGAATTTTAGCATTTTAAAAATAATGGCTGTAACTCGAAAAATTGAAGTCTGAATCAGCTCAAACTTTCTACACAGCATAAGTACATCAATATGTATCAGAAAATGCAATAAAAATTTGGAGTGATTTCAGAACCATTTTTCAGAAAAAACCATGGGCTATAGCCTTGGGTATTTTTCAGAATTTTGGCATTTTCTTCAAATGGCCATAACTTGAAAAATTGAAGTCGGAATCAGCTCAAACTTTCTACACAGCATAAAGACATCAATATCTATCAGAAATGTAATAAAATTCTGCGATGATTATACAAAGAGACAGAGTTGCATTCTCCAGTTGTGTATAATACCTTTTGGTTCCGATTGAAGTTGAGCTGCTCTTTCCTTGTTCATGTATCCAGCATGTAACTTTGACTCTAACTCTCTCAACTCCTGACTGTCAATAAGATAATAATAATAATACCATTATTTTACAAAAGATGTACATACATGTACACATGTACTTCAATGCTAATGCATGCATGGCAGACTTTAAAGTTTCAATCAGAATCAGCTCAAACTTTATACAGAGGATAAAGGCATCAATATGTATACAGTAGACTAGAGGGGGAGAGGCAAATTTGGCCACATGTTTTCAAAACTGGTACTTTTATTAATTTATTTGTTTTAGTTTTTAGGTACCAAAGTACAGACTGATACAGCTGGTGCCATACCTATTGTCTCTGATTTGCTGACAAAGTCTCTCATCTCTTTGGGATTCAAAGTTTAATCTTTTGTAACTCCTAAACAAAGAAAGAGGGAGGGAGAAGTAAACTTGGTGGGGCGGAGAAAGGAGGAGATTGAAGAAGAAAGCCATTACATAGAGTACTGCAATAATAGTGTATGTCAGAATGTGTAGTATTTGTAGTTGCTCATACTTCAGCTATTCTCTTCTCTTGCTCCAGTTGCTGTTCTCAACTTTTCTCTCTAATGGATGCTGCTATCTTCTCGTCTGTTTCTTTCTCTGTGGCCTCTTGCTGCAATCTAAAAGGCACCATTAAACATACACTACACAGTCACACATTGCTTTTGTTACATTCTAGCTAGAATCTTCTTTTCCACTCTCTCCTCGGAGGCCATGTTGGGGTTACATTGCAGTTTAGGTCCTACCTAAATTAATAATTAATTTAAATAATTTTAACCCCTAAATCTAAACCTCGATCTAAACTTAAAACAAACTAAAGTAAACTTTAAAAAACTAAACCCAAAACCTAAAAAAAACCTAAACCCTAAATCCTTTAGTGAACAGTATTTGCCTTCTAGCCATCATCATTCTTTCAAGTGACAATCTCTACCAGTCACTCAGTCAACAATAATGCATGTTGCCATGGTAATCAAAACGGAAAATAATACGGATTTTAAAATGCTAATTAAAATGTTTTAGAAAATGAAGTAAAAACAGATTATTATAATACAGTTGAAAATGATTGAAGGAATGCCACCAAGTGCTGATGACACCCTGATTACATGTAAATAGAGTAAGGGAGTGATCATAAAAATTAAAACAAATAAATAATCAGAGTAAAAATAAACAAAATAAATGAACAAAATAATTTAATAAATCACTACAACAATTAATAATAATAGAGAGAAGAAGAAAAGAGAGGGAATAGATTGATAAAGAAAAGAGAGATTGATTGATTATCAAGCATTATTTTAAGTGTAGATATTCTAATTATCATAATAATAACAATAAATAGAATAAAAGCCATAAAGCAAAATAGCACCAATCATTATCAAAAATCCAACACTAACATTTGTCAAGCAAACACTAATAATTATTGAGAAAAAAACCATAAGTACTGAAATTAAAAATATAAGTAATTGTACACCTCTTCCCAGCCATGTTTGTACTTCTTTTTGCCGCTTCAAAGCTTGATAATCTTGTTCCCTTACTTCCCTATCAATAAGAACCAATCTCATTGCTTCATGTAATTCATTTTCTCTCTCCAGCATTCTAATCTTGCTTTTAAGTTCTGATCTTTTCAGTGCTTCTATGTCAGATATTAACCGTTCCTTTTCCTTAGAAATTTTTTCCAGTTGCATTTTTGTCTTGTATATCTCATCACTTTTAGCCAAAATTTTATTTGTAAAATCTGACCTTATTATTTTTATTATTTCTTCTTTCTCATGAATTTTATCCAACAAGGTCTTACCACTTCTACTTCTTATACATTTCTCTTCGACAGCCTGAAGCACTGTAAGCATATCTGGTCTGCTATAAGGACGATCTTGAAGGCATTGCTTAGCTAAAGGAAGCAGCTCTTTCTCATCTTCTGGTATTTTCTGGATATATTTTGATCGTCTGTCCCACTCAGCTACTTTTGACTGCCATATCCTAAAGTACTGGACAAATGCATCAGTTGGTTCAGGGAATTGACAAGTGAGAATGTGAAGAATGAGACAGCCATAAGAGAATACGTCAACCTTTTCATTGTAAACAGGTTTAGCTGCAAGAGCCTCTGGTGGCATTACAATAGCATTGCCAGGTGCTTGAGTAAGCTTTTGATGCGATTTGAACTTACCAACTAATCTTGATACTCCAAGATCTGATATCTTGGCAACATAAAAAGAGGTGAGTAACACATTATTAGCAGTGAGGTCACGATGTACAATAGGAGGACTATTGCTGTGAAGATAACATAAACCCTTAGCAACATCAGACAGAATGGAATACTTCATTTGAAGTGGCAGTCCATCATGTTCCAGTGACTCTCTGAGAGTGAAAGGAAGATATTCCATTACTAACATTGGTACTTGTGAACGAGGAGGATAATAGACACCAATTAATTGGACAATGTTAGGATGTCTTTGCTGACTGTGAAGAAGAATCTCCTCATTGAACTTTTGCAAAGTACTTTCCTATTAAAAATAATAATAGAGCGGTTTCATATGACGTCATAGTATGCGTCATAATTACTTCCGCATGGCAAAATGGCTACTTTGCCATTCATTTGTACAGCGCTATAAACTTTTCTGGCAGGCTTCCTCAACTATGAGCATGGCCAATTCATGCTGCTCTTTCATTTTCCTGGACCCAGGAATGCAAAGGAAGCAAAAAGTCCTCGGATAGAGAACCAGTGAAGCGGCCAAAGTGAACACAGCATCGCCTTGTTACTCCTGTAATTATTGCTATCGCTACTTTTCTGCTTACTACTGCTAAAATGACTGTAGGCTGGGGAATGGTCTGGCTAGTGAGACCGTAGCAGAATCAGCGTTGACAAAATTGAATCTTACCTGTACAATAATATCGTGTAATTTCTTAGCTGCACAAATGGTTTCGTTAACTTTTACTTCAGTCACCACACCGTAAGCTCCATGACCTAATTTCCTTCCAGTCTCACATACATTTTTCAAAAGTAAACTCTCGATCTCCATGTTTGTTTATAAGTTGTAACAGTTACAATAGTATCAATAGACCACCCAGTGTGACAATTGCAAAAGCTATGAATTTCATTAATTTTGTATCCGCCCACACATC